CAGATGGTCAACTTTTTTGAAATTTCACGATTTGGTGACTTTTTAGCTCACCTGAGCTGGAAGCTCAGGTAAGCTTTTCTGATCACATTTTGTCTGTAGTCCGTCTGTCCGAGTGTCTGTAAACTTTTCACGTTTTCGACTTCTGCCCAAGAACCACTGGGCCAATTTCAACCAAACTTGCCACAAAGCATCCTTGGGTAAAGGGGCTTTAAATTGTTCAAATGGAGGGCCACGCCCTCTTTCAAGGGGAGATAATTAAGAATTAGTGAAAAATTAATAGCATCTTTTAAAAATCTTCTTCTCAAGAACCACAAGGCCAGGAAAGATGAAACTCATGTGGAAACATCCTCAGGTAGTGTAGATTCAAATTTATTCAAATCATGACCCCTGGGGGTAGGGCGGAGCCACAATGGACGATCAAAGTTTTACATAGAAATATATAGGAAAAATCTTTAAAAATCTTCTTTTCAAGAACAGCAAAGCCATGATGAGTCATATTTATGTGGAAGCATCATCAGGTAGTGTAGATTCAAGTTTGTTCAAATCATGACGCCCGGGGGTAGGGTGTGGCCACAATGGACGATCAAATTTGACACACGAATACACAGGAAAATGGATATTCTGTTTGGTTGAAATCGCCCAGTGGTTCTGGAGAAGAAGATGAAATTGTGAAAAGTTAACGACAACGACGACAGACAACGGACAAATTTCGATCAGAAAAACTCCCTTGAGCCTTCGGCTAAGGTGAGCTAAAAACTAGTCTAAAACGCATACTACTTACAGGGCATGTGTATACGTACTGTGTGTATAGTCAATCTATTCTTCATAATATACATATATTTATACACATATTACATTTGACAGAAGTCGTGAGTAATTTTGCACATTATTGTGCATCTACTCAATAACTTGAGATTCTTTTGAAACGAAATTTCACATGTCGCCATCGCCCCAGTAATATGTAACTTCTTATCTGTCTATGTCTTCATTGTTCTGCTCACAATCTGCATTGCTCAACTGGACTTTGACCATGATTACTGTTTGTTATAACATTTCGTGGTAATATTTCATTGAGATCTCGAAATGGCATATGTTGTGAGTAATGATCTGGACTTATTCAGTTCTGCATTGTTGAGCTAAATTTTGTTCTTGTTAAAAATAGGAATAAAGTATTATTTTTTTTATATTTGATGTATTTATCAACGTATTATAAGGGAACTAATTGTACTTCCATATTTGCCGACCCGTTTTTATATTCAGATACATCTACACGAGAAGAAAACACTTGCTGTGGCCTTCAACTCGACATTCAGATCTATCGACGTTTTGTCAATCAACAATAGTTACTTCTATTCATATGTCGACTTGACATATCCCAGTGAATTTAAAATAAAAGACACCATAGAGTCTGTCATATCTGTTTCATATTTGAATGCTATACTGACTATAGACGATAAGGGCCAACTAAATAAATTTTATGGCAAACGAGATGATTTCAGCTTTCCCATCGTCAATTTTCCTTATATACATGTATGTAGTATTATTCCGCTATCACCTGCATATGGTGTTTACGTCTCGTAACTTATTCGAGAATCGAGAGTAGGCTCTGAGTATGAGCAATGCCAGGCCACTGACAGATACGTGTATGCTATAGGGATTTCAACGACTTTGTTTAAAGTCAGCACTTCAGTAAAGAGGGTGTTGCAGTTCTTTTGTTATTTTCCCTAAAGTTGTAGCAGTTTAAAAGAAAAAAAAATAAGTAACAGAAAACGGTCTTAAATTTTATCAGATACAACGGTATATACAGCACAATTTAGAACAATATTTAGAAACTGCATATCGACTTCCAATTTGCCATTAAATGAAGTGTAAATTAGTCACATAGCAAAATAAGTCAGGTTTTCTGTTTTTTAAAATAGGGAATCCCCATTGTTCTGAAAAATTGCCTCCTTGAAACAGAATGAATTTGATATACGCATTAAGAGACAGAATTTTTCTTCAAAACTTCTATTTCCGATTTTTGTTTCAAAGAGGCATATTTTTGAAAATCACAAAAATCGAATAAAAATTACTATCCATCCGAAATGGAAAATGTGCACATATAATAGCACATGATACTTCACTGTCGGAGGTGGTCTAGCGGTAAAGTGTGTGGACTCTCTGCAAAGATTCTTTTTCCTAGAATGGCTGGTGTATATATATATATATATATATATATATATATATATATATATATATATATATATATATATATATATATATATATATATATATATTTATCCCATGTTTACCCCTTTATCCCGTGGATATGACTCACTGGATAAATTTTTCATAATCCACAGTTAAGTGCAGTTGTGACATCACAATGGTTTTTGCGTTAGCGTGATGAAGTAAAATAAAGTGGAGTCCTATATAAAACAGTGTAAAACATTGGTTGTGAAGTATTAAACAAGGGATAAAAAGAATCTCCCATGATTTGTAGTTGGATATGACTTTTATCCAACTCGTTGCGTGTTTTTATCCCCTCGCCAAGGCTCGGGGATAAAAAACACACAACTCGTTGGATAAAAATCATATCCAACTACAAATCATGGGAGATCCTATATATATATATATATATATATATATATATATATATATATATATATATATATATATATATATATATTAGGGATGTCAAATCGGTCAATATTTGATAATCGGTTACTCGGGCGATTTTCCGATCGAGTACCCGGGTACTCGGAAAAAGTGTGTTTACATGTAAAAGTTTGTTGATTTACAGACCTGTATACCCCATCGATGTTTTCTTTCGTTTTTAATGCATGTACAATTCAATTCTTTATTTTCCTTATGCCATATGGCACATCAGATAGTATGACATGAAATATATAAAATAAAAAGTTATATATAATAATTTCAATAGACTTGCTACATTATATATATATATATACATATATAGACCTACATATATAAAACTATTCGATTCTTTCAGTGTTATATATATTAAATATGTACATACATATTATATGCTACAAACAATTTAGTAGTTCTTATCTTCGAGACCAACGAAAATGATATTTGGTACTTAATTTATGTATCAAACAAACACGAAATACATGACCAATGACTACAAAATGAATGCTTAAGTTTACAGTTCTTGTTTAGGAAAACATTTTGATCAACGGAAAGAAGGATGCAACTTAGTAATGATTAGACTAGCGAAAAAGAATATCGTTGGCGTGATCGAGTGTCGTATATTATTGACATTTCCAAATGGTTTTTTTTTGGGGGGGGGGGTGATAACTCTGAAAATTAAATATGACGATTTCTTCTTCCCAAAAAACTAGACAGTGATTCCTTAATATATATCCCCCCCCCCCCCACCCAGTATACGCTTAATTTACTACGCACAGCTGACTTTTAACATTTTTTTTAAATCTTCGGTTATTTTTAGAATTTCTCCACTTTTGAATTGGTAGCGGTATTTCTAGGTATGTCCGATTTCGCTACAGTATGCTAATTAAATAATCTAAGGATAATTAATGTATCTAATTAAACGATTGAAACATTGAAATCAAATAATTGAAGCCATCCAAAAATTAAGGCCACAAGGGATGAGGACAGCTGTGTTCAGTGTCAGGTGATTGGTCACGGTAATTACTGTGTATCCATGTACACAGCCACAAGCGATAACGGGAATTAACTGGTGGAGGTGACGCTCATTACTGTATGGACATGGACGGTGCATATTTAGATAAAAGTTTTTAATAAATATTTGCACTTTGAAATACGAAAAAATATACATTCGAGTAACCGAGTACCGATTTTAGTATTCGATACTCGGACGTTCGATCGAGTACTCGTTGACATCCCTAATATATATATATAATGAAAGTACAATAATTACAATGTAACATCTCTCTTGAGAGAGAAAGAGAGAGGGAGATAATGTCAGAAAATTAATGGGTAATATTTTAAATGGATGTAGAATTAAATTGTTTCCCTTGATATTATGATCTAAAACTAATAAGACATGTATTTAATGTTATTATTTAGTGGCGATATCTTCAAAAATAAAGTACTGTCATTTTAAATAATTTAATTTTTTCATACGCATTTCGTTTCATTATTGTTCTGTTAATTAGTGGCTCAGATTTGTCTTGGAACAACTAAAATTGAAATGACTCAATAAAATTTCTTGGATACATCAACAGCGTGATTATTGGACACATTTTTATATATTGAAAAATATGAACGCACGCTGTCTACAGTACATCTTTCAAAATGATGTGCGAGGTGCATTTGCCATTAATTGTGCTTTTTATCGTTCTAACTTTTCTCATGCAATATGGCGACAGTGACCATAGATGTGAAAAAAAAGTTTTTTACAGGTCGCCAGTCTATGTTAGGAAAAAACTATATGCATGAAATAAACGTAAAATGTTAAATGTTTTGTTATAACAAGCTGGACATACCCGTCGTATAAATAAAGTAATCTACGTAGCATTAGAGATGACTCTTCATGCTTCGTGGGTATTTAAATGTCCTTCTCGATATAGGGAATAATCACGAGTTTCTGCAACACCCTCTTCTATGGTCGTTATTTAATGATATTTTAAGCAAATTTAATCTGTCATTGGGCCGTATTTTGGATGAAATTGTTAGGCTTTTGTTTTTATACTATATTTGACTGCGGAATAATCCGTCTACCTGATCAGTACATAGGGCTGACGGCGGGTGTGACCTGTCGACAGTGGATGCTTACTCCTCCCAAGCACCTGAGCCCACCTCTGGAATTTCCGGGGGTCCGTGATTATATGCCTTTTTCACAGATTTATATTGTTTGTAGTTGTTGTGTTTTTTTAGATCGATCACTGTTTGTTATTTTCACCTTTTTTCATTGCAAACATAGGAATTACCTGCGACATCTAGCATCATTGTTTTGATACGTAAAATATAAGCAATTTCAGTAATAACAATCCATTGTTTATTTTCATTAGAGAGGGAACATGTGGACTATCCTGGCTGGCGCCATTACAGGACTCGTCGGTGCCACATACCTCGGTATCAAATACTGGTCGCCATGGATCAAGTATGACCTACAGTTTTTCTGGACTGTTATCTTTAATTATTTAATCCCAATGTCAAAAGATATCAAAAGAGGCAGGCTCCCAATCAACCGATTTGAAGAAACTGTGAAGAAGCACCGGGACAAAACAATGCTTGTTTATGATAATAAAACATTTACATACAACGAAGGCAACGCCAGATCAAATAAATTTGCCAATGCTGCTCTAAGTCTTGGTTTGGAGAGAGGAGATGTTGTAGCTATTGTCTTGGCAAACGAACCCGATTTTATATGGACATTTTTAGGTAACTATATATCATGTATATACTAGCCAATTTCTCTGTCTTTTCTAATTTGTAATTGTATACAAATAAACCTCCTGGTTTATGAATTAGATTTTAATATATATTAAACAATTTGCAGGTTTGCAGAAGATAGGAGTTCAGATGGCCTTCATCAATTTTAATCTCCGAAATGAATCATTAGTTCATGTTATTAAAGTTGCAGAACCAAAAATGATATTTATTTCTAGAGGCAAGTCTTATTTATATTTTTTATTATAATTATTTCTTTTTAGCTTTTGGCACCTTTTTGATACAATGAAAAAGGTGAAAATAGCAAACAATGATCGATTTCAAAAACCAAAAAATATATATAAACAGTACAAATCTGTGAACAGGGCATAAAACATTCACCATTCTTTATTGTAAATTTTTTTTAAACATTACTAGTAACTTTTATACAACTATTTATGGTAAAATTTTAAAACGTAACTAGTATCAAAAACTAAGTTTCCAATGTAAAATAAATTACAAATGATCCAACTTAAATAAATTAAAAAACGAATATTCGAATAATAATTCGATGGGCTGATATTCGAATATAAATTTAAGATTGGAAAATTCTGTGTTTTTTTTTTCAGATTTCAGCAAAAAAACTAATTCAAAATTTTAATTGGAGCCGTGATGCAATTATCCTTTTTTTCTAGCAATCAATTTCTATTGCCTGATTTTCTTCCAACTTTCTCATCTTTCAGAATTATTTCGTTCGGAGTAAGGTATAAAAGAATGAAAGATTTTTAGTGTAATACAAGTATTTTCATAATTTTTATCAGTTTAATACGATCGGATTGAGAACAACCTTTCTTAGACTGCCTAAAGGACGTGAAGAATGTACTTTTCGAAATAATGAGAAGGCCAAACATGGCAAAATGCCCATAGCTGCAAATGTATAAAAGTCACATCCAATTTCTGTTTTTAGTATTCAGAAGTCGTATCATTATTAAATTATGACAAATATAGCTTTTCCGCGGAAAATTCTTTCAGCAAAACCATTCTTTGATTTAAAAATATGGTACTCTTGGGCTTCGAACACAAGCAATAAAAATCCTGAGTGCCGAGTAAAGGTCAAAATTTGAAGCTCTTTACCGGTATATGGTGACGTCTCTATATGAGCGAAAAATTCTCTAATGAGACGTAAAACAACATACAATTCATCAATCAATCTTTCATTGATAATTGAACTAGGGCTACATGTCTGATAGAATTAGTCTGTAATATTGTAAAAAGCTCAAATTCAGTATAATATGTGTCAATTACTTGATTGTCTAGGGTTGTATATATTTCGTAATTTTAAAATTGTTATCGAAAATTATTTAATTACAGGGTTCGACACTAACATTTTTAGGCTTTTGTCCGGCCGGACTAGTGCTTCTTTATTTTTACTAGTCCGCGCGCGATTTATGAGTCCGTCAAAAAAGAGGAAAATCAGTGCTTTAATTGTAACGATCAAAAAAGATATTAGAATGTACCTTTTATACTTTTTTGAAAATAACAAATCATTTACGTGAAGCATTTTATTCCACAGATCTCGTGATCAGGAAATACGATCACATTCCCAATATCGGTTCTTTTTTCTCTACAAATTGCGTTCAAAACATCTGACATCTTCCTTTTATGTGTCATACTTAATCATGACAACTTCGTATCACATTGTAAAATTAACCCGACAAGAAGCTAGAAAGCTAAAAATACATACGGAGTTTTCCAGTATAAGTTGTCGAGAATTGACATCAATAATTTATTCATTTTGTTTTCCAGATTTTTTTTTCCCGTTCGGACTAATTGGCCACAGATTTTATAAGTCAGAATGAAAATGTATTAGTCTGAGATTAACATAATATAACACGTCTGTTACCGTACATTCGAACAAATTTTAGACGAAACGTCAGTTGAAGTGTAGGCTGTCACCGGTTCGAAATTTACACGTTTTCCAGACTCACAACATGAAGGCTTGCGAAGAGAAGTGGATGTAGGCGAAAGCCTGTCCACTTCTCTAAAGAGAATAGGTGTTGTTACACATTGACGTTACATCAAAGTAATGTTATTAAAGTCATAATGTTAAAAACATTGTTATTGCATATTTTAGATATTTAATATGAATTTTGTCAAAATAAAATACTGTGAAAGTGGAATACACTGCGATGCTTTAATTTCACTATGTTCGCGATCAGAGAATTTTCGGCGAACATCAAGCCATCGTGAATATTGTTGACATATCAATATTGTATTTATATTATATCAAATACAAGTGTAAGAACACGTTTCACACACCATAAAAACTGTATTCATTTTCCGTATTAGTAAAATTATTATGATGATCACTTAGAAACGCCAGGTTAATAACACGGCTGTTTTAAATTAGTTCCCTAAAATATTATAAATAGTTAACCATAACTTTGTTTTCAAGGGATATTTTGAAGCAGAATTTATTCAAAAACTTGTACATGAGAAGAAGAAAATACTTGCTGTGGCCTTCAACGGATATTTAGATATATCAACGACTTATTATCAATTCACAATAGTTTATATTTCCATTCATAAATCGACTCGAAGCTAGAAATCTGTAAAAAATATTTTTCACATCAACAGCAAAGCCAAGTTTAGTCATATTGATATGGAGTCATCCTTAGGTAGTGTAGATTCATCACCCCTGGGGTTGGGTGGGGCCACAATGGGGATCAAAGTTTTACGCAGGAATATTTTGGGGAAAATCTTTTAAAAGAAATCTTATTCACAAGAACAGCATAATATCAAATATGGAGATAATCAAGCTCAAATTCCATAGAAAAAATACAAATCAGGAGCAGAGCAAACAAGGATCAATGCAACCCTTGCAAACCACTGGACAAGAAAAGATGAAACGTGTGAAAGCTTCATTACATACTCTAGATTTAAGTTTGTTCATACCATAACCCCCGGGGCAGGGCGGGGCCGCAACAGGGGGTCGAAGTTTGACATAGGGATTTATAGGAAATTTCTTTAAAAATTTTCTTCTCGAGAACAGCAAATCCGTAATTAGTCATATCATAATAGAAGTATACTCAGTTAGTGTAGATTTAAGTCATGATCCCTGTGGGTAGGACAGGGCCACAAGAGGGGGTCAAAGTTTACCATAGGAATATACAGGAAATATCTTTAAAAATCTTCTTCTCAAGAACAGATAAGCCATTTTTAGTCATATTAATACAAAAGTATTCTCAGGTAGTATAGATTCAAGTGTGTTCAAATCATGACCCCTGGGGTTAGAGTGGGGCCAGAACAGTGGGTCAAAGTTTTACATAGGAATATATAGGTGTAATGGTTAAAGGGCATTTGAGTAAAACTCACTGAAGACTTCAAATAGTGGAATGACCGGAGAACCCTTGGAATGGACTAGCCAAACCAAAGGATATATAAGGCAAAGCTTTGGGAAAGTCAGGCATTTAAAAACTAGCTGAAGAATTTGGATGTTGAATCAGCAATAAAGAAAATAGGGTATTCCATCCCTAATAGCAACAGATTCAATGAAATTGAATACATAACAGATGTGTAGGGGTTGAAAACTTAGTATATTTAGACATAATTCCCATTAATTACTATAATCATGTAAGCCTGGAATGTGGCCTAATTTATGACCTTGAATTTGGGTAAGAGTTATCTCCCTCTCCCCTCTGTTTTAATTAATAAAAAAAAAACAATCTTAAAAAACTTATCTGGTAAAAAAAATCATTTTCAATTGTCATTCTATTTCTAATGTTTTAATGCATCTTTCCACCACAGTATTTATTGATATTCTTATTATTTGAATTTTTTTAATTAAAAAATCGCCTATCCCCATAGACATCAATGCAATCTTTGTTAATTAATTACTGCTTAGTTAATTACATTTTTGAAACTTTCTACTCTAAAATGCTTTAAATTAATATCAAAGTATTATGTACGTGATAGACATTTAAGGATAAAGAATTTGGTCCTATTAGGGATGTTAAGGGTAAGAGCAAAATAAAAGTTATTAACACCAATGGCAAGTATCCTAAAGAATTTATGTTAAGTTCTGGGTGTAGTAAATCTGAAAAAGATTGAGACACCCGTTTTCTATCTATCAATGGGAACCTAGACTGGGGCGTAGCTTCCATTGTTGCAATGAGGCAACTGCCTCGCTAGATTTTTCACCACCACCACCCTTCCCATAATCAACAATACATTGCAGATAATACGTAAAATTAATGGCATTTCTTTTAAAATTTTAAGGAGTTCTATAATGTTGAATTGAAGTTTTAAAGAAATAAAAGCAAAGTTTGATAAGAGGCGTTTTCACCTTTAAATGTTTCAAAAGTTTTAGTAAACATATTTATTAACCTTTTTACATTCTTTTACAATATGTAGTATCATGCTGAAGTCTTAAATAAACAAACCAGTACAGTAAATGAAATTTCATTACATTTTAAAACCCCAACTGTATTTTCTGTCGGAGTGCCCCCCCCCCTCCCATGACACCACCCGGAACCTGCTGGGGGCTTAAGGCGGCCCCAGACCTCTTGCTGCTACATGTATAGTTTTGCCTCACTAGAATTTAAAGTCAAGCTACTTTGTTTGGTCTGGTTAGTCATATTAATGTAGAAGAATCCTCAGGTAATGTAGATTCAAATTTGTCCAAAGTTAGGGTGGCTAAGGTTTGGCTACAATGAGAGATCAGAGTTTTACATAGGAAAACATACAAAAAAATAATTTTTAAATTCTTCTGTTTAAGAACAGTAAAGCCATGATTAGTAATATTAATATGCTTCTCCTCTTACAGTTTTGGTCAAATTTCAATATTATTTGCACACAATTAGATTACACCTAGATAAAACATTCTATATATTGGTTTTTTATTTTGATGAAAGTTGTTGCCATGGTTTCTAAAAATGGAAATGTTTATGAAATACTTTTAAAAGCTACTCTTCTCACAGTTTTGGTCTGATTTTAATATAACATGGTATGCAAGTACACTACACTGAGATACATAATTCTCTTAATATGGATTTTTTTGATTTGATAAATAATGTTGCCATGGTTACTATAAAAAGAAATTTCTGTGAAACGCTATTCCTCCTACAGTTTATGTCTGATTGCTATAAATCTTCCCACAAAAAGAAACTTAACCATGGATCATTATTCTATTTATTGCTGTCCCTTAATTTTTTCATGTTTTGAGTACAAACCAGTAGAGCCACTAATTACGTTACTGCTGTTGAAAGAATATATTTGGTAGTACATGTATACAGTTACTTAAATTCATTGCTTATTTCTAACATCGACAAAAATCAAATGTATTATTCCTCACTGTATACCTACAACAGTTTTTTACTGCCAAATACGCTGCATTTCATTTCCGGCATCTTTTATTTTCAATTCCTAATTTTATTTTTTATTAATTTATTTTTTTTAAATTCTGGAACGTTTATTTGGTATTTTTCTGACATTTAATGTTAACAAGGTGGAAATACGGTTGAAATTAAATTACTCTAAAATTAACAATAACACTGGCTTTTAAAAAGGTTGTTGAAATCCCTGAACATCACCATATTTGTAAGAAGCATGCTTTGGTTTAAAATTTGATCGTACTCAGAGCATGCTTTTGAGTAATGTGTTAGAGTGTTAGAATTTACGTCTTTAATAGGATCATAGTATTAAATAAATTCATCATATTCAATGTCTATAGGAAATAATGTTCTCGAGAATAAGACAACAACAAATCCATTTTTTCTCTTTTCTAACTGCATGATTCATATTAAATAAAAAAAATGTTTTTTTAAATCGTCATGATGGTTTTACAGACACCGATCTTCAAAACCCGGTTTCTGAAATCCTCCAGGAGCTACATGGAATACCTGTTTATCATTTTGGAGAGTCAAGAGATTCAAATTTCATTCCAATGGACTCAATTATTGAAAGATCATCAAATGAAAATGTCGGCGAAGACATTCGTAAATGCATCAGAATGAAAGACAACAGTCTTTACATTTATACCTCTGGAACAACAGGTGATTGTATATATTCGCACCAAATTTCATTATATTCAGTTGAATTCGTTATGAACATTAATAATTGAATTATGACAGTAGAATTTCCCGCCTAACAGGTCTACCGAAAGCTGCATACATTCCAAATGAAAAGCTTGTAAAAGGTGCCTGGAGTATGGCCATACAGAATCTCTGTCAGGATGATATTGTGTACACCGCTCTTCCACTGTACCACTCATCTGCTTCTCTTATTGCTCTTGGCAATGTGCTACGAACGGGTACGCAATCAGCTTTACTTTTCTCTTTTAGAGTCAGATATAAATTTGTTTAAAGAACATGGAATGACTATTACAATTTTCATGAATAAATTCTAAAATTCAATTTAATTTAGGGGCAACTTTGGTTCTCAAAAAGAAATTTTCTGCCTCTCGGTTTATCAGCGACTGTCGAGAACACAATGTTACAGTGGTACACTACGTTGGTGAACTTCTTCGATATGTGGCCGCAACACCTCCAGTAAGTATGTGGTTTTTGGAGACCAGGTCTTCCAACAATCTATTGGAATTCCCATGGGTACCAATTGCGCCCCGTTATTAGCAGACCTTTTTTTGTATTCATATGAAGCAGAATTTGTCCAAAATCTTGTACGTGAAAAGAAGAAAACACTTGCTGTGGCCTTCAACTCGACATTTAGATATATCGACGACGTATTGTCAATTAACAATGGCTATTTCCATTCTTATGTCGATACGATATATCCCTGTGAACTTGAGATAAAAGATACCACAGAGTCTGACACATCTGTTTCATATTTGGATATTTTACTTGAAAAAGACGTTAATGGTAATCTAACAACCAAGCTTTATGATAAACGTGATGACTTTAACTTTTCAATCGTCAACTTCCCTTACTTATGCAGCAATATACCTTCATCACCTGCATACGGGGTATATATCTCTCAGTTGATTCGATACGCAAGAGCATGCTCTACGTATGTACAATTTCTAAAACGAGGTAAATTATTGACAAATAAGTTGATGAAACAAGAATATCACCTGTCTCGTTTAAAGTCATCATTTCGTAAGTTCTATGGTCGATACAATGACCTTGTCGGCAAATACGGTTTGTCATTGAGTCAAATGCTGACTGACGTTTTTCACACTAATTGTTAGGCCATTGTTTACACACTGAATTGTCGACGGATTTTTCCGTTGTTTCCCGATCGTGACAAGGAGCACACGGCGGGTGTGACCGGTCGGCAGGGGATGCTCACTCCTCCATGGCACCTGATCCCACCTCTGATGTTTGGAGGTCCGTGTTTGCTCTGCTCCTATTTTGTATTGATTAATGGACTTTTGAGCTTGAATACTGTTCGTTATTTCCATATATTTCATGGAAACAATATCCTTATAAGTGGAATTGTTTAAATTAACCATAAGTGTCAAAATAACTGAATCCAGTAGCTATATACTTGGCAATTCATCAACGATATTAACGTTGAATGACTCCTTCCTATCGTCTAAGTGTTACGGCTTTCCACGGCTTTTTAGCTATTCTTCTTTTCGCTTCATTGATCACATGTGATTCCTGAGAAGAATGTAAATTTAAACATGGATTTTTCTAGAAGTTAGACCCTCATTGCCCAACACCAACTTCATCATTACTTGTTTGAAAGTGTATTCATAAAATATTTATCATAATTTTTAAAGTATGAACTATGTCGACAGATGTAATGAATGACGTACAAATGTATTTTCTTCTTAGGACAGATGATACAAAATAAAAAAAAAAAATTGGACGCCTGGATTGGTATATATTTATTGACCTTTTTTTGTTGTAAATGATTAGAATAATAAATTTCTAAAATATTAATATTAAGAAATTGTAAACTTACTACGATATTCAAAGTTCCACTATTCTGCATTCATCCTTTTAATGTATAAAAATTTTTGTTACTTTAAATCCAAATATTGTGAAACTTTATAAGAAAAATGAAAATCTATTCGGTTAAAGTTATTCATTTTACTTATATGAACATGACTTAATTTGTTATTTTCAAGATTTTTAGAAAAAAAATTTATATCTTCTGGCCTAGCTGCAGATCTGTAGAGCTACAGATCCAAGCGTTGTAAAAACCTTCGATTTACGCCGCCGCTTTTTTGTCGCTCGCTTCGGCTATTATTTCTTGTATTTAATGCTTTCCCCTGCTTTAAAAGTGGTATCCAATAATTATCCATATATTTTACTCCTATTCCTGACACTTCATTTACCTTTCAACAGATCACCACACTGGTTTTCTGAGTCCGTACTACCATTCTCTAAAACTGACGACGTACATGTAGTACACATTTTACAGGACGTTAGTTTCTTGCGTATCAAACAAGTTCCTTGAAAAAGTATTTTGTGTAATAGATAAAGGTTGCATAAATGATACCAAAAGCTTTTTTATTTATATTTAGCTAATAATAGAGAGGTATATACAGTGTAATAAATTGATCATTGCAACGGTAACTTGATCCGAATAGGATCATCAGAGCGTCTCGTTTGATCTGCTGATGCGTGCCCGTCAACTCGACGTGATACGGCTCTTTGGATCAAGTTACTGTTATGATAATGTATATTTATAAGTCGATTATCAATGAAACTGATATACCAGTAAACGAAAAAGTTTTTGCAACACTTAGATGTATGGTCATTCAGCAGGAATATCCTATTGTTGGAGAATTTCATTGTGGTCATTGCAGTTCTTCAGATAATAAATATGAAATTTTTGTCAGCATGCTAGTGTAATTGACGATGTCTCGACATTTAGTTTATATCGCGCCATATATTATCACTTTATAGCAGTAAGGATAATAATATTCGTTTCAACTTGCCAATTTCAAATAAATTAATGTGCAACAGTTATTTTTCTAGTATAATCTATCTTATTTAAATCAATAAGGATTTTTTTTGCTTGCAAAATCTATGTAACATATATATTATTTTGATGACAGCCATTACAATATTACAGAGTAGTTCTGATACAAACCACTGCATCCGATGTGCCTTTGGAAATGGATTAAGAAAAGATGTTTGGAAAATTATGCTAGAAAGGTTCAAAATACCACACATATACGAGTTTTATGCAGCTACTGAAATGCCTGTAGGACTTGCAAACATAAACAACATTGTTGGAGCTGTTGGACGCATGTCGCCACTCCTAGTAAGACAATTTTCTTTGTATAGCCTCTCACCTACCTCCTTCTTTATCATAAAAGGTAAAAAAAAAAGTTTTTAACTATTGATGTTTACGATGTAGTGGTATACTAGTACTAGTATTTGGTAAGTTAAGGAGGGTTTCCTAAAAGTGGAAAGTCAAAATAGGATTGTGTTTTGTGAATGTGTAAGATAATGAACTTAGAGACTCAGGTTTTATATACACTTGTCAATTTATAATTATTTTATATGGATTCTTACATATGAAAATCTTTTAAATAACTACATAAATTGAATGATTCACAAAATCATGCTAGTTTCTATGAGTTTTATATTACCATAATATACCAAACTAACATATCAGTCATAGTTTGGAGGTGTCAAGTATAGATCTCTCCATATAAAATACTGCATAATACAGATATTTCAATTTCCTTTGCCTTCTAAAAATGACATAATATCCCATTTAATAGTTAGAGAAAGGATACAATTTTAGTAATACAATAATAACAACATTTACATTGTATAACGTTAAATGCTTTGTAGAAATTTTCTCTGCCGTGTGAGTTCGTGCTATATGACAAGGAAAACGAAGATGTATTGAGAAACAAGAACGGATTGTGTGTATTGGCGCCATTAGGTAATTACATGTAATACTGTTACAGTATTAATACCTTGAAATTTAGTGTATGCCATTATAGAAAATAAACTAAGGGACACAATAAAGAATGCACTTTCATTCTCTTTGCTAAAAATTTCTTGAGCAGTATAATTTCGTAAGTCAAGAAGTGACTGACCCTGTCTATGGGTTTTTTTAATGTTTAATTTAAGGATGTCGTTCCCCCACTCTCCAGCATTGAGTGATGCTCAACTAGGACAAATAGACATCTCTGGACAATCTAACAAAGACTTTATGGGACGAAAAATCGTCCATATTGCATTTTAATTCCATAATTATGTCATAGGAAAGAAATAACTATTTAAAGATTGTTTAAAGAAATGCACATACTATCAAATGACGTGCGATTTTGTTTTTTAGTGAGTTTTACTCTTTTCCTCTAATTCTGATCGTTAAGCTATCGACTGATGATATATGTAAAAGAAATGCCAATTTTTTACTAGCAGAAAACACATAATATATTCTATAGAGATGTACTGAAAATAAATCACCATATTATTTTTAGCTCACCTGAGCTGAAAGCTCAAGTGAGCTTTTCTGATCACATTTTGTCTGTAGTCCGTCTGTCCGTCTGTCTGTAAACTTTTCACATTTTCGACTTTTTCTCAAGAACCACGAGGCCAATTTAAACCTAACTTACCACAAATCATCCTTGGGTGAAGGGGATTCAAGTTTGTTCAAATGAAGGGCCACGCCCTCTTTCAAGGGGAGATAATTAAGAATTAGTGAAAAATGAATAGCATCTTTTAAAAATCTTCTTCTCAAGAACCACAGGACCAGGAAAGATGAAACTCATATGGAAGCATCCCCAGGTAGTGTAGATTCAAATTTGTTCAAATCATGACCCCCGGGGATAGGGCGGGGCCACAATGGACGATCAAAGTTTTACATAGAAATATAAAGGAAAAATCTTTAAAAATCTTCTTCCCAAGAATAGTAAAGCCATGAAGAGTCATGTTTATATGGAAGCATCCTCAGGTAGTGTAGATTCAAATTTGATCGAATTATGACCCCCGGGGGTAGGGCGGGGCCACAATGGAGGATCAAAGTTTTACATAGAAATATATAAGAGAAATCTTTAAAAATCTTCTTCTCAAGAACAGTAAAACCAAGATGAGTCATATTTAAATGGAAGCATCCCCAGGTAGTGTAGATTCAAATTTGTTCAAATCATGACCCCCGGGGTTAGGGCGGGGCCACAATGGAGGATCAAAGTTTTACATAGAAATATTTAGGAAAAATCTTTAAAAATCTTCTTCTCAAGAACAGTAAAGCCATGATGAGTCATATTTAAATGGAAGCATCCCCAGGTAGTGTAGATTCAAATTTGTTCAAATCATGACCCCCGGGGGTAGGGTGGGTCCACAATGGAGGATCAAAGTTTTACATAGAAGTATATAGGAAAAATCTTCTTCTCAAGAACAGCAAAGCCATTATGAGTCAAATTTATATGGAAGCATCCTCAGGTAGTGTAGATTCAATTTTGATCAAATGATGACCCCCGGGGGTAGGGTGGGGCCCAATGGCGGATCGAAAGTTTTACATAAGAACATATAGAAAAAAAAATTCTTCTCAAGAACAGAAAAGCTATGTTAGTCTTATTGATATGGAAGCATCCTCAGGTAATGTAGATTCAAGTTTGTTCAAATGATGACCCCTGAGATAGGGAGGAGCTACAATGGGGGATCAAATTTTTACAAAGAAATAAATGGGAAAATTCTTTTAAAATCTTCTCAAGTACAACAAATTCATTTGTTATATTGACATCATCAGGCAGTTTAAAATTCAAGTCCCCCCTCCCCCCCCCCCCCCCGTTCATTACTGAACTGATTTGTGCCTTAGTCTAGCCAATGTGCTCAGGTGAGCGATGTGGCCCATGGGCCTCTTGTTTTTAAAAATTTCATTTAAAAGTTGTCCAACACTAAATGTTAATATTATTATCCATCATAAACGAAAACTGTTCACCGTTTGCTATATCCATTTTCAAAGATTTAAATTCCATTCCTGTTCCAGAGTTAAAGTGTTAAAGGGGCCTGGACACAGTTGCATTGTTTACATTATAAATTTCTATGCTTATTCAAAAAATAAAACCAGTTAAATGAATTGAACTATCTTGAATATTCTTAGAATTCAATGACAACGACATTATTATTTACACCACGTCAGACGTGTGTTTTTGTAAACAGGGCACGAGCTCCGTTTTTGTTAATGTTTACGTTTCACCGGGTGTGTTCAATTTGTTAAACACTGCACAAATCACTGAACACGAACTGAAAATACTGGATACATGTAGTTGGTTTTGCCTTCTCATTTCTACTCTGAATTTTCTGGATTATAGTTTTAATTTTTTCATTAATACACATCAAAAATTCTACTTTTCTTTAGTATTAAGGATAATGTTTGCTTTGTGAAAGTGCAAGGATGTGTCAATCAAACGCGTCCCAAAATTCGTAGTTTCAATAATTTCCAGATAAAAGAAGTTTCTGAACACGCTTTTATTATTTTTCCATGTAAAATGCTATAGCAACATATAAGTAATGATATTATACAGAAAAATTGAGAAAATGTTAACTTATAATATGCGTCCAGGCCTCTTAAAATCTCAGTGGTTCCATTTTTGTTTGAACAGATAGATTATTTGAAAATAAGTACGTGTATTTTTTTCTTTTGTCGCTCATTATACTTAATGCTGATCCACCTATGGTTAACTTGTATACTTTATTTTTTTAAAAGGTATGGCATTTACAATAGTAATTACATGTATACAACAAGTCTTAATTAATAGCCATAACGTCATAACTCTGTTAAATAATTTGCTTTTATAAATGTTATTTACTGTTTAAATGTTAAAATTCTATTTGTGTCAAGGACTCCCAGTATTATAACTACAGACCATGTACAATCAGTGGTCCATATTTATATAATAGTGTTATTATTTGGATGTACTATGCCGAAATAGTAGTCAGGGTTTGACACATGGTGCACGAGCCGGAGGCGAGTGCACTATGTGTCAAACCCTGACTACTATTTCGGCATAGTACATCCAAATAATAACACTATTATAATTATTATGCTGACTGTTGTTTGTATACGACAATTTAATTAAATTCTCAATCCCAAACCTGTTTGCAGACGTTAAATCTAAATGAAAATTTTCTTGAACATTCTTTAATCAAGCGTTATATCAAAAAGCGTTTTATTGACTCCGAAGAACCAGTTCATGTTACGTTGCAATTTTGGTTACTGATAAATTCGATTATTTGTTAGAGAATTTTTCTTTAAGATCCTTATCAATAATATCAGTCTTTTAGAAATTATATTCATTTATTTCTTGTTTTGTGACAAATGTATAAAAACTACGTTTTTATACTTGAAAATACATTCCGTAAAGTAGCGGTGTTTGTGGCGTAATCGGTAACGCGTTGGACTGACGTTCTCCAGATCGTGAGTTCGATCCCCAGCGTGGGTGCTAATTACATTTTCTCTAGAAAAGACAGCCGTGCACTATTTCGGCATAGTATGCTTACGCTATATAAATCCTTAGAACACTATGCGAAAATAGTTGGGTATTGATTATATAGAGACAAACTGACAGGAAGCATAATAATAACTTTTTATGAAGGAATGAACAGAACAATGGTTCATATACATAACAGTCATTACTATAACTGGAGAAAATTTGAAATGTTATATGAAGAAAATGATAAGGTTAATGCTTTAAAATGTGAACAAAAATGATTTATATAATGAAATAATTTAATTGAATTAAATAAAGCAAATTTCCAACAGTAAACGTGTATGAAACATTAAAAATAAACGTGTTGAAATAAATCTAAAAATAAAAGGATTAGGTGTACATGGTCATTGTTTTTCTGGGTGAAACTAAATCAGCATTTTCTGATAGAGAATAACAAGACAAGTCTGTTGTGACAACATAATGTACAAGTCGGGTTTAAAAACAGTCTTGGAAAAATACTTTAGCCAGAGTTTCAAATATATCGAAGTTAGATCATGATATTTTTTTTTATTTAAAAAAAAAATAGAAACTTTTCTTTATTACAATTAACTTAAAGTTTGGAAAAATTGAAATAACTCAAAATGTGTATCCGATTTGAGTAAACAGTAACCATGCTTTATTCTTATAGAGAAAACAAATGTAAAGAGTACTGTTTTTTGAAAAATATGGAGATAACGAACAGTAATTAAGCTCAAAAGTCCTTGGCAATACAAATCGGAGCAAACACGGACCTTTAAGTGAGCATCTCAGAGAAAACCATGCAAAACAGTCCACAAGCAGGGTTTATGTATTGATATCAATTTTTGTGTGCAATATAGTATTGATATACCATTAAATTTGCCACATACATTTTTGTCATTGTTGCCTTAGTTCATGACTTAGAGGCATGTTACTAAAAATAGAACATGTCGTCAAACTAGGAGCTTAAAATCATGAAATCTAGACATATTTGAGGAAATCTCAACAAATTATGACATTTCATGCATTGAAATTAACTGATAGGCATAAAAGTATGTTGCCTAGAGTATCAGTCAGGATAGTAAAATTTATTCAGTTCTCATCCAGTTTAAGTACAAAAAGGTCACAAATCTTCCAAAGTTCACATTTCCAAAAAATTCAAATATTTATGAACTTTCAAAGTATTTTTAAAGAGTCTGTAAACACTGCAATTTGTTTTATAGTAATTACACCTGTAAGTACAGACCATGATTAGGAAAATATAAAAAAATCTATCTTTGGACTCTTTCAAATAGGGCAGATATGAGGTCACAAACAATGCTATGATTTGATGTATTGCAAATCACAATAAAATTGTTAAAATAGCTCATATCTAGTATATCATAATTTAACTGGAAATGTTTCAGCATGTCACTTTATAATATTTCAAAACAAAAAGGACAACTATAATACAATTCTACATAAAAGGAACTTAAAACATTTTAATCAAGAACATATATGTTGTCATGGGTAACGATATTATCTTGGTATTCTTTTTTTTAAAAAACATCAAATGGCTGTTATTCATTGAACTTATTTTTACAGGAAAAAAGTTTTAGTTTGTCGTATTAATAAATATTCTATATAAAAAGGCAAAGTGTTAAAAAATATTAAGAAATTTATTTTTGTCATTTAAATATAAAGAACATGTTGTCATTGAAATACCATATTCTTGGAGTTTTATCATTTTCTTTGAAAAAGATGAAAATTACTTTAATCAATTCATTACTCTTCGATCCGAAAATCATGAAAACAAGTCCAATATTTACAAACATTTAAAATAAAACATTGGTGTACAAACACAGAAAAAATATGTAAATGTTGCCATGGAAACATCATACATTTTACAATTTTTTTCAATTTTTCTTCAATAACCCTCTGATAATGCTTATATTCAGGCAAGCTAGGCATTGAATACTCTGAGAATACTTCAAATCTTTACTTTTGCTAATACATATATAATCTGACTTTAAGGAAGATTAAGGACTATTATTTGTGTTATGAAATAGAAACAAAAGAACATGTTATACTGATATAGCATGTAAGCTACCATAAAAATGTTTACCATGGTTACCAAACAAAGCAAAATATCCAGTTTAAATTTGAAATATGACTGTATATATGCTAATATATTCATATGCTAAGTGCATTTCATAAAATGCTGGAATTGTTACTTGTATCTTTAGAAATATCTTTAACTATTAGAATAAAATTGCAGAAAATAAACTTTTCACACCTACATGTTTATCAAATAGGTTGCCATGGATACACAAAATTACGTATTTAACCCATTTTCATACATACATAATACAGTCTGGTGATGTTCTTCTGCCTTGAGATTCATGACAATTTCTTGGAGATGTTCATCATTCACAATGCTTTAAAATAAACTTTTCACACCTACATGTTTATCAAATAGGTTCCCATGGATACACGAAATTACGCATTTACAACATTTAACACATTTTCATACAAAGCTGATACAATCTGGTGATGTTCTTCTGCCTTGAGATTCATGACAATTTCTTGGAGGTGTTCATCGTTCACAATGCTTTCTGTATCTGCTAATTCAACTGAAAGACTTTTACCCTCTCTGCCTTTGCACTTTTTCTTCTTGTTATTAATGTAAGAAGCAAACAAGTTTCTTAGCTGATTTGCTGTCAGCCACTCATGTGGCCCAAAGAGGTGACATCCATTTTCATCGGAAACTTTTTTTTAGTTCTCCACTTAAGGCTGCATAGTTTGGGCGTTTCTCTGTCTTTTCACAGTTGTCAAAAATCTGCTTTACATAGTCTTATACATTTTGCGAGAACCTGCAGCATTTACTTGCAGATTTTAATGCCCACCCTCCTGAACTTTGGGAAGAGATATCATGACTGTGAGAGGTCAGTGTCTCACTGATGTGAGTTTCTTTTTTCGAATGGCAGAACACTTCTCAACCCAGATTTTAATGCCATAATCAATCGCAGTTTCCTCTGCTTTCCTGTAAAGGTAGTTTCCCAAAGCGAGATGTTTCTCGAGATTGGCAGACCTTACATACTGTTTCTGACAAGAGGGATCTGGACATGAATACAATTCATCATTCAGTTGCCTCTGATCCTGCTCCTGCTCACCGACAGCTTCATTTTTGTTGTTAGAGTTTCTTTTTCTCATAAGAACTTGTCCAGTATCAACTGCGTGGGACGGAAATTCTTCTAAAACCTATACCAGAAAAATCCATTAGTAATATTTACCTAAATAAATAGCAATTCTACTGTATATTGTAGAATTAAAAAAAAAACAACTATTAAAATATTTTTTGTATATCCATACAAAAAGTGATAATATATTTATTATATAGATCTGTAATTATAACAAATACCTGGAAACCCTTCATTCCTCTCACATCAAGATGTTGATCTTTCAAGGGATTTGTCTCAATGAGCCTTCCACAACCAACCTGGTATGCCTTTCTAATAATTATTGAATCCACATTAAATATGAAGTTGTTCAGAAGGCTAATCTGAGGGATTTTGGATTTTATTTTTGGTTCCTCTGCATTGTCAATGGAGATAACACAAGCTTTAGTTCCTTTCAATCCATGATTGCTTTCTTAAGCTCTTTTCAAGTCCGAGGCAGACAGAACATCATTTCCTTCATCCAGAAATCGGGCCACATGCATTCGACAAGAACCAGTTTTGCTGTCACAAAGATCTTTTCCAGATTGTGCTTCACTGAAGTTGAACTCTTTGATGGTAATAGGAAAATGGCAGTAATTCTTACTGATAAATGAGATGAGTGGTGTACAGTGGTAGCATCCAGCATTATCCGTCTTTATGAAGATCTCTTGAAGGTTTGGAAATTGCTCTGACAAAGTTGGAAGAAGGTGTCTAATGATATGAGCAACAGAAAACCAGCCTTGATTTCCATTCTCAAGGATATGGATATAGGTGTTCAAGTCAAGATGGTCTGGCAAGGTGCTAGCTGTTGGTTCAGGGTCACTTTTCTGAGTAATTAAACAGGATATATGCCAACTAATTCCCTTTTTTCCGAAGAAATCTGACTGTGTTTCTCTGTACTGGAGAGGAAGGAATTTCATGGCCCAATCCATTATCAGAAGTCCTTGGTTTAGGTCAAGGTGTTGTTAGACATCTGATCTTGCAAAATCTTGATGAACAGTTCTGAGAAGATGAGCTTACCAGTCCTTGATGGCTTTTGTTGCCATGACAATTTCATGCTGCAATTCCTCCATTAAATCCTCAGATGGTATTTGAACTGTTTCAGTGGCTTCCTTGATGCACTCTGTAAGTTTGTCTGTCAAAACACAATTAGAGCAAGTGTCTGAATGGTCATGGTCACAATTACTTGAAAAGCATTTGTCTGCTGGATCACTCAGGGCAAACATTGTACAATGATCACTGCATGAAGAACTTCTGCTAAAATGGCTCTTCACATCAAATTTCAAATGCTGATTACAGATGTTGATCATGTCAATCAGATTCTCTTTTTTCTCTGTCTCCATTCCATATTCAACAAGTCTTGTCACAACCTTCTGTAATGACTCCATGGCATCCATTCCAAGGGCTGTGGTGTTGTCAAGTCCATGCATTGCTTTCCTTTTTGATGCTCGACAGGCTTTGAGGATTCTGTACAATGAAGCACGGCTGAAAGTTTCGAAATCCGATTCCTTGCAATACTCTTGATAGTTTGCAATGATTCTGGCACTCACAGCATATCTGATGACCTTTGGAATCTGTACCTTTTCTCCACTTGACAAATGTAATTGCATGGCACCAAAACGAAGAACCTGGGAAATAGAGGGCATAGATACATATTCAATAAAGTGCAGCAATTTTGGTCTGGTCAGACGTATTCTGTATATCTTTGGTGGATTCAGCATTTGTCCTGGTCCTATCACTGAGGCATGTTTTCTAGCTGCATCAATTTTGGACTGTGTAAGAGATGGTATAAGTTGAAGAAGCTTTTGCTTTGTAAAGTTGTTTACAAACAATGACAGGATCTGCTGTTGGGTTTTTTTGTCTGCTGTGGCATGATAGGCCTCTATCAACTGTTGTGTGGCTTTGTCTATTTCTTTGCTCTCATTTTCAGATGTTTGACAAATTTTGGCAAGAATGGTGTTTTCTTGTCCTGGGGCTATGATGGACAGAACTATCATTACAGCTTCTTTGGCCTTGCTGATGTAGTAGTACTTCGCAGACTTTGCTAATTCAGACCAAGGTCTTGTAAGCTGGGACTTTAGAGGTTGAAACTGATTTCCTGAAAACAAAATTGTCATTGTTTGAATATAGAATGTAATGTGAAAAATAAGGGGAGTAACCCTCTAGTGGAATTCACAAACAAGAGGCCCATGGGCCACATCACCTACCTGAATCAATATGGCCCTGCTGTTCTTCATCAGCAGATTTCTTCTCCTAAATACATATTCATACGTAAAGCTTTGATCGCCTGTTTTAGCTACACCCTACCCCAGGGGTCATGTTTTGAATGAAATTGAATCTTCACTATCTGAGGATCTTGATTTGAACAAATTTGAGTCTACACTGCATTCACTGATATTGATGCTTCCCTGTCAATATGACTGACTGATCATGGCTTTGTTGTTAATGAGAAGATTTTTAAAGATTTTTCCAATATACTAAGTATATTCCTATGTGAAACTTTGATCCCCCCCCCCCATTGTGGCTCCACCCTAACCCCAGTGGTCATGATTTGAACAAACTTGAATCTACACTATCAGAGAATGCTTCTTTATCAATGTGAGTAATTGTGGCTTTGTTGTTCTTGAGAGGAAGATTTTAAAGATAATACCCCATCTATTCATATGTAAAACTTTGATCCCCCATTGTGGTGATTTTTCCTATATATTCCAATTGTCACAGGTGGTGAAAAATAAAGTCTCAACTGGGACTCAAACCCAGGACCTCTGGCATTACGTGCCAGCGCTCTAACCAACTGAGCTATTGAGACCCAATATATTGACTGACTTTCAAACGTCTGTGAAACCAGTGACACAATTTAAAACTTTCATCCCCTATTGTGGCCCAGCCCTAGCCCAGGGGTCATTATTTGAAGAAACTTGAATCTACACTATCTAAGGATGCTTCCATATCAATATGACTAATTATGGCTTTGTTTATTCTTGAGAAGAAGAATTTTAAAAGTATTTTCCTATATATTTCTATGTAAAACTTTGATCCCCCATTGTGGCCCCACCCTACCCCGGGTGTCATGATTTGAACAAACTTGAATCCCCAAAGATACTTTGTGACAAGTTTAGTCAAAATTGGCCCAGTGGTTCTTGAGAAGAAGTTAAAAAGTTTACAGATGGACAGCTAGACAGACGCCAGAGAAAATGTGATCTGAGAAAAGCTCACTTGAGCTTTCAGTAATCATGAATTTCTACCTTGAATTAGAACTCTGTGATGAAAAGTTTCTGGGTTTGTTGATATAACTCAATAATAATCATCAAATTCATGTATATTTGATTTTAATATAAAATCATCTTAGTCCCACTACCGTTCACGGTAGCTCAGTCGGTAGAGCGCTCGCTCCGTGATTGGGAGGTCGTGAGTTCGAATCTCGGCCGCGACAGACCTAAGTCGGTAAAAAATAGGTAGCAACTGTTCCTTCGCCATGCGCTCGGCACTTTGAAGTGAAAGTTGCGGGTCCTTCGGATGAGACCTTAAAAACCGAGGCCCCGTGTCACGGCAGGCGTTGGCACGATAAAGATCCCTCACTGCTCAATGGCCCTGAGTGCCGAGTAAAGGTCAAAATTTGAAGCCCTTCACCGGTATATGGTGACGTCTCTATATGAGTGAAAAATTCTCGAATGGGACGTAAAACAATATACAATCAATCAATCTTAGTCCCACGTCGCCCGCGTGGCGCAGTGGTTAGAGCGTCTGCTCTAGAGTCGCGAAGTAAGGAGTTGATCCTTACGTCGCGGGTTCGAATCCCACTGTGGGACGTGGAGATTTTGAATCTGAAAATTGCTTACATGTATCCTTTTGCATACTAGCTAGCTAATGTATACTTAACAAATATTATAATTACCAAGTTCTTCCACAAACTGTACATTGTAAGAGGGAGAAACATTCTTCTTATGCTCCATTCAGCACCTCTTGCAAATTGCTACAAGACAAGTAATTGAAATAAATAAAGCACATTTTGTCAAAGTACAATTACACTGTAATAGAGCTTATTTATAGCATATACACATCATTTTATCAAATTCAATTTCTTTAAATTTCCTAAGCTTAATTATATATTGAGTAAATAAACAAATTATAAATGATGATCACCTGTTGTACTTTTAAACTGTTTTAAGATATGATATTTTTTTTCCCTATAGCTTTCTGTGAAAGCCTTAATTTAGGTCCATGTATATGCTCTCTAAACATAATTTAAAATTATATTTTATTTAAATTTATTCTACTGGAATAAATATTTCTTTCAAACACATAAGTCAATGCAACTTTTTATAATTATTTCATTGAAAATTTGATAACTAGGTTCATAATGTAATTATCATAACGAACCTGACCCTACTGGTAATATTTGTCTTGTATTTAACCAGAGCTCTTTGCACATTGTTGGGCTGGCTCCTCTGTCTGCTTTCATCTTTCCCTGATGACCAGGATAGGAAAAGGTTCCCTTGGGTCTTTTCCATCGTGCCCCCAACTCTTCACGGTGTGTATTACATATTCTCATTGAGAGAACGGTTTTATCAACAGTAAAATACCCACTTCGATATAATATCAATATATACTCAGGACATACGTGAGCATCATATACATGCTTGTCTATTATTTCTGCACTTTGTAGAGAATATAGATGATTCAATATATCTCTGTCACATTCATAAACATAGAAAGTGTTTGCAAAATTACAAACAGTTTCTCCATTATGAAAGTCACACACAGCAGGGCATTTGGTTGGCAGTGCTTGTAAATGAACATCCATTTCCATTTATAAATATATCAAATTAATCAGAAAAATATTGGAAGTCATTTTAATTCAAAAGATCAAACCACACAGATCAAAATAGTTGCATCAAGCTCATTCTGATAATCATGTTTTGACTTCCATTTGACTTCTCTTCTCTTTCTTACCTCCTCTGCCTGGAGATTGCATTTAAGGGGAGGTAAATCTTATAAATCATTTTTCATAGAAACAAAACTTATCTACAGGATTTAAACATGGAAGATATTGATCTAAGAAGTATTTATGACCAGAAAATATTTTTTTAAAATTAATTCAAAATTTCAAAAGCGTTTTAAGGTCTCTATGTCTAAAATATAAATAAATTCAAGAATGAGCTAGAATATGTTTATTTCGTATATGTATCGATCGATGTTTTATCAATTGTGCAGCAAACTTTGAGAGTCCAAAGATGGATTTTCTTTCAGTTTCCATTTAGGTCTTCTACTTTTATAATCATGTGAAATAGACAAGATGCAAGCGTTTACAGGTATATTTATACCCTACTCAAAGTTAGCATTTTCTTTTACATCTGGCAGTGGTATCGATATGCCAGTTTTCTAAATTCTGCCTGATCTTTATAAAAGCAGTACTGCCAATTCAACTTTGTTTTACTGAAAAAATAAGACATAGATAACTTAAATATGAATAAAAAGTTTGTATGAATTTTTCTCTTATTTTCATATTTTGGTACTCAAAATGTATCTTTTTTGGTATCTTTTTTACAATTTTCAAAGGATATTTGGGCCAATATTTAAAGTAGGTCAAAGCTAAAAATAGAACAACATTGAGGGGCAATTGAATTCAAAATTTGGACTTTCATGGGAGGTCCTTCCAGTTTTATACAAGTTTTAAAATATCTGAGATGTAAGCTTGTGGACCATTTTTGCCATTTTGCATGGTTTTCTCTGAGACGCTCACTTAAAAGCATCAGAGGTGGGATCAGGTGTCATGGAGGAGTATGCATCCCCTGTTGACCGGTCACGCCTGCCGTGTTCTTCTATTCACGATCGGGCAAACGTAAATTCAGAGAATTCAGTGTGTAAATAATGACCTAATAATTAGAATGAAAAACGTCAGTCAGCTTTCGACTTAATGATAGATTGTATTTGTTGACAAGGTCATTGTATCGGCCATAAGACTTGCGAAATGTTGACTTTAACGAGACTGTTGATATCCATGTTTCAACACCTTGTTTGTCAATAGCTTGTTTGGTTTTAGAAATTGTTCTTACATAAAGCATGCTTTTGTGTATCGAATCAACTGGGAGACATAAACTCCATATGCAGGTGATAAAGGTACGTTGCTACATAAATAAGGGAAGTTGACAATAGAAAAGTTGAACAAATTTAACAATTAAGCTTGCTGTATTTTATGAAATGCCAGTCACAAAAAAGATGTACATTGATGCTAGATTTCGTTCAGATTAAAAAGAACTGTACGAGGAGTATGAATTTTAAAACTAAGTTTTAAAAAAGGCTCTTTCTGAATAAAATGTGATATGTAGTGTCTGAAGCCAACTTCTGAAATATATGTAAGTTTAGTTATCAAAATTTCAGGAGGTATGGAGGAGGTAATTTTTTTATTCTGCTCTGATCGTGAACATCTAACTAAATTCTGTTTTCAGAGAAAAAAAAAGCAATCAGACCATAAAATTAAATTGAAAATATCGAAACACATTATTTTGCAGCTTTCTTTAAATAATGGTTACAAAGAATAGATAATGTCTGAGAAAAAGATTTTCAAAAGTTTGAGAGACAGGCAGCGAAACAGGACAAGAACATTTTCTCAATACATGTATAGAATTTTTTCTGATCAAGTAATGCAGCTAAATATTAAATGTAAAACATAAAATATTAAATTTAAAAAATTGAATACAATTACGAAGTACATAATACTGTTTCTAATATTAATTATTCTATGATCAATGGTAATCATAAAAAGCTTTATTCTGTTAAAAATAACAAGCATTCTGAGAGTATTACATTAGCAATACTAGTCCCCTACCGGCAAGTGTAATCTGGTTCCCGTTAAAAATTGAAAATGCCATAAATCTGTCAAAAATCAATGAAGTGGAACGAAATGCAGACTTGATCTTTAACTCATCAAGGTAAAGTCACATACCAAAAATCAGCTCCAAGCGTTTAGAAAAAAAATGCGGAAAACCCTGAAAATCGAAAAGGTCATAATTCCGTCAAAAATCATTGAAGCGGAACGAAATGCAAACTTGATCTGTAACTCATCAAGATACATTCACATACCAAAAATCAGCTTAATATCTGCAAGCGTTTAGAAAAAAAGTGCGGAAAACCATGTGGGACAGACTGAAAGACAGACAGAGGGACAGACAGACAGACGGACGGACAGACTCAGAGGAAACCTATAGTCCCCTCCGGTTTCACTGGTAGGGGACTAATAATAAATAGTACAAAAATAATTTGAGCAGAGTGCTGTAGTGGGGAACCCGAAAAAAGTTCATCAACCGAGGCAACAATATACATTTATTGTCTGGGTTCGAGGGCAACATGCATGTGTTTTGTCGGACCCAAGAACAAAACTGTTTGCCTGAGGCCGTTAGGCCGAAGGCAGACAGTTTGGTTCGAGTGGTCGACACACATATAGTCCGAGAACTCAATCAATAAATGTTTTGTTATACCTTTTATTTTTTGATATACATGTATCTTGTGCTGGCTTCCATGATGTGAATTTCCTTGACCTGCTCTAAAACTCGGACAATTCTGTTACTGTCAATGCAAATAAGACTTAACTGATCCCGCCCACAGCGTGAAGTAAGCGGTCCAATATCTCATTGACAGGTCGAACATCTCACTCGATCTGCGGTCAAACATCGATTTTTTATGACCGCTCAGTAAAACATTGTATATGTTAGACTTACTTAAATATAGAATGATATAGGAACCAAGTTTGTAAGTATAATAAAAAGTTCTGTTTTGTTTCAACATCAAATGAGACGAAATTTAAATAATTCCATCTCCACTATATCATGCATTCCCGCATTATTTAGATTTCCACGACAAGATGCTATGTATTATTGTAAAGCAAATGAATGCAAAGTTGCATTAAGTTTTAAAAAAAAAAACAACACATTAAATTCTATCTTTATAACCTGATTGGGTATTTCTTAAGGCTACCTCTCTGATTGACTGATATCCAACAGTGTAGAATAAATACTACGTTATGTTCACCTGAACTTGACTCTGAAGGTGACCGTTATAATTTATTTTTTCAACATTGGAATAAAGATATAAACAAGGAAATTCCAAATTGATACAAATTGTTCTGGACGTTATTTCACTTGCACCCGACTTCCACTCAAGTGAACATAACATTCAGGCTGATAGAATGGGGAGGGGGGGGGTTGCAGGAGATCTGTCCCTCGTACTTTTTTCAGAAAATGAAAATGTTGCTTGAAAGGCTGGTTGCGCACCCAGCCGCCCACCCACCCTGTTAATGGACCCTAACCCCCCCCCCCCCAAAAAAAAAAACCCAAACAAACAAACGAACAAAATAAATTAAATTGGAGTTTGGAGAATTCTCTTTTTGAAAAGGGGGGGGGTGGTCAAAGATTTTTTTTTCAGAAAAGCTGTCAATTTTTACATTACAGTGCCCCCTTTTTTCAAAATTGATCCTCTGTGCCTGACATTTAATTATTTTCTTCACACCTAAAACAGATTTTAAAATTTCCAAATTATTTTAACCCATCTTCTCTCATTGTGTTTTGCTATGACTTCAGTAAATGTAAACAGGTAAGATGGCATGGATTCATTAACGAGTTTGTATCATTTTTATTTTTAATCATTGAATCATATGATAAAAAAATTACTGCTCTCTTTAGGTCACCTCTGTTTTCGTCCGTCGTCGTGCGGGTGTGACTCGTGCTTAAACTTTTCACATTTTCGACTTCTTCTCAAGAACCACTGGGCCAGTTTCCACCAAACGTGCCACAAAGTATCCTTGGGTTTGGGTGATTCAAGTTTGTTCAAATGAAGGGCCACGCCTTCTTCCAAGGGGAGATAATTAAGAATTAGTGAAAAATTAATGGTATCTTTTAGATATCTTCTTCTCCAGAACCACTGGACCAGGTAAGATGAAACATATGGAAACATCCTCAGGAAGTATAGACTCAAATTTGTTAAAATCATAACCCCCAGGGGTAGGGTGGGGCCACAATGGACAATGAACGTTTTACATTGGAATACGTAGCAAAAATCTCAAGAACAGCAAAGCCATGATTGGTTATATTTATATTTACATGGAAACATACTCAGGTAGTATAGATTCAAGTTTGTTCAAATCATGCCTCATGGGATAGGGTGGGGCCACAATGGACGATCAAATATTTACAAAAGCTTCTTCTATCAGTTTATTTTATACTCTATGGATTGTTGTTTTATACTCAGGTGACCGTTAAGGCCCTTGGGCCTCTTGTTTCAGTTAATACGATGATTTAGCCACATTGATTTCGAAATACAATATTCACCTTGCCCCTCTGGTTCGGTGAATATTTTACTTCTCAGATAGCTAAATCATTGAATTGACCTCAAAAACAGCAAAATTGTACAATATTCCACAATATTGAGTGTATGATATTCTGAACTGTAAACATTTTTATATTCTCATCGTAGACAAAATGAAAGAAATGGGACTAAGTAAACTGGACGCTTTTTGTTCCCTGCTTTCACTGAAATTGGGGGATATTAGTTTGTGTCTGTCTGTCCGTCCGTCCGTCTGTCTAGCTGTATTTCTGTCTATGTGTAACACTTTCGTTTCCGGACGATATCTCGAGAAGCCTTTGAGCTTTTGCAATGAAATTTTTTTATCACAACTTTTAATCAAAACTCAATTTGAAAGGAGATGGGTAAACAGGGCGTGCAGAATGCCTATAGCTTCAAAAATATAGAAATCAATTTCAATTTGTGAATTAAGTATTTAGAGTAAAGTTCTCATTGTTGAAATTTATGAAAACTTTTCTGAGGAAAAATTTCTCGGAAAAATTATTCTGTTTAAAAAAAAGTGGCATTGGTGGGGTTCGAACCCTGTCAATAAAAATCCTGAGTATCATTTTTCCTTTGAGACTAACGAGCTAACCACTCGATACACAACTTCCGAATATAGTGGCATTTAACAGTTACATGTATGTGTGACATATACATACATCCTCATAAAATCATTATAACAGTGTGATAAAAGAATCTTCTGTACACATTTTAAAGAATAAGTGATCAAATCTATAAATCCATATTGATATTTACATTGTGAAAATTTTGTATCAGAAGATCATTATGTAGAAGTTTACAGCGATAGAAAATAAAATTAAAATCCGCTCAACCACCCCAATTTTTAAGCAAATTAGGACGAAAATCTAACTTTAAATTTATGTGTCCTTAAGGCCAAAAGCTGAAAGGTCAAAGTTGACCTTTCTTCTTTCTCCATCGCAATTTTTTTCCATTTCTTCCACCCTCTCTTTTTTTCCTTAAAAGCGAGGGTCGCAAATTCTCTGAATTAGCTTGTTATGAGTATAGTAACTTTCAAAACAAAGTTTTTTTTCACTGTTGTAGAATCTTCTGGATTGCTGTTAATAAAGTTAGATGAAAGGCGTCGGCTGACGTTCGAGGGATATAAAGGCAAAGAATCCGAAAGAAAGAAGAAGCTGGTGTTTAACGTGATTCGTCATGGAGATTGCTACATTAACACAGGGGACGCATTTACGCGTGATAAAGACTACTTTGTCTATTTTTCTGACAGATTAGGCGACACATTCAGGTTAAGTATACATTGCATAATTATCATCATTCTTTTTTGTCTCCCGCTTTCACTGAAAGTGGGGGATATTAATTTGGGTGTGTCTGTCCGTCCATCTGTCTGTCTCTCTGTCAATGTCTAACACTTTCGTTTCCGGACGATAACTCAAGAAGCCTTTGAGCTTTTGCAGTGAATTTTATACCACAACTCCCTATGGTCTAAAGAAGACCCCTGTTGATTTCGAAGTCAAAAAGTCAAGGAAAAAATCATAAATTCCGGTTATGTGTAAAACTTTCGTTTCCAACGATATCTCAAGAAGCTTTTGAACTTTTGCTATGGAATTTTATACCACTGCTCCCTATGGTCTAAATAAGACCCCTTACAATTTTAGGTCAAAAAGTCAGGAGCTATTAATTCATACATTCTATTTGTGTGTAACACTTTCGTTTCAGGGCGATATCTTTGCATATCTGAGCTTTTTTAATGATTTTTTTTCACAACTCTTAATGGCCTTGAAAAAGACCACAAACAATTTTGAGCTCAGTAGGTCAAAGGTCATAAATTCATACTTTTTCCAGAGAACTTTATTTTTCTTTGAGCATCCTTCAATAAAATTTAATTCCCTGTGCTCTAAAATTGAATCCTGTTGATGTTGAGGTCAAAAGGTTTTCCTTTAAGCGGGGGACATTTATTCTCTGAATTTGCTTGTTTTTCTGGAAGTTTGATAAACGATTGCTGTGTATCATTAGAAGTGTAAAAAGAACACACCATTTATATATTTTTAAAAATAAAATTCTGATCAGTCTTATATATTGTAGTAACCTGTTCGTGAAAGAGGGCTAAATTGTATTTTCATTGGTTGCTTGAATCTGATCATATACTTTCTATTAACGCATTTCTATGTTCACGAATAGATGGAAAGGAGAAAACGTATCAACAACAGAGGTCGCTAACATTTTGATGGAACTGGAGTTGGTGTCTGATATCTGTGTATATGGTGTGCGAATAGGAGGTTTGTTTACATGTACTAATTTTATTATTTTGATAGTTCGAGTTAATGTACCAAAGGATATATTCTTTTCCTATTTGGGTTTATAATATCAATCATAGAACAGTTAAAAAACTCGAAGAATTTTATTGAAAAATAAAATATGCATAGTTTAAAAGAAAATATTTTTCTTATCCTAAATATCAATTCATCAATTAATTTTACTTATACAAGATATTAAAACAATGTTAAAATGTTCATCTTACATCATGTATTATACAGTATTTTTGGCTTGAAAATGATTACAGTTATGCTTCCTGTTTGGTCGCAAGAGCGTGATTCGAAATACGTGAAGCTGTATATATATATATATATATATATATATATATATATATATATATATATATATATATATATATATATAAACTAGTTTTATAACTCAGCAATAATTTCTGTCTTACAGAGAATGAAGGTAAAGCTGGAATGGCAGCGTTAACTTTGCAAACTCAACCAGAAAACCTCAGTTTAAAAGTAGAACAATTAAATTCCATTGCTGAACACTGTGTCAAACAACTACCTGCATACGCTAGACCGAGGTTTATACGAGTTGTAAAGGAGTTCATATACACCAGTACCTTCAAACAGAGCAAGCTAAAGTTGAAGGAGGAGGGATACGATTTGAATAAAGTAACCTCTCCTGTATATTTTCTGGATTGCAAGGAGAATAATTATAAACAAATGACACCAGAGATACAAAAGGACATCGACTCAGGGAAAATTAAGATGTAAATTACAAAGAAATATATTTGAATACGGAGTGCAGATAAAATCTTTCAGGATACAAAATGTGTGTGTGTGCAGGGGGGAGGGGGGGGGGATTGAATAGCCAAGTTGCACTTTTTCGAGGATTTTACATGTATTTCTCGTATATCGTTCGGGTCGTTTTTTGTACATGTTAGAATTTTCCTAACATAAATGATCATATTTTCACAATTTAGGACTTTATGGAAACATCTAATTAAGGAATGTTTTTAAGTTTTGTGTGAGTTATTGGTGTGTAAATCACACAGACTTGTCTAGCGCGCTTCATGAAATATGCCTACGTGCAAGTCTGTGTGATTTACACACCAATAATTCACACTAAGCTTTAAAAATTCCTTATATTTACATTTTACATGTTTAAATGCACTAAAATATACTTAAAGATATACACGCTATAACTTGCGTCTGTCAAAAATAAAGTTGGAAATTTATTTATTTTGTTCACCAAATAAAGTTACGAAAATATTGTAAATTACACAATTGGAAATGAACGCATTATAAAGATCTCAAATTATAATTATTTATTATCGTACTAGCAAAGTAATGCTATATTTAAATTCATGCATCATGTGACACCGTCGCTACTTTTAGATTGGTAAACAAAAATGGCGTCAAGAAAACAAGGTAGGCCGTTTGGTATAGAAATAGCTTTTGACATGGATGGCATACGTTTTATGTTTAAAGATACTTATCTTTGAAAACAACCATTATTAACCATCTACTCTGTAATGACAGATATTAACTTTTATTCAAAATAGTAGTCAAAATGATACGTACCTCGTTGTCTATGATTTCCCGCGGACATGCGTGTCTATATACTGTTTACGCTCTTCCTTCATCAATATTCGTGAATAGGCTGAATTCTTAATGCAGATCTTGCTTAATTGTTTTGTAATTGCAACGACTTATTTAGTAAATCTTTGTGGAAAGTAATTATTTTTTATTACACATCATGTTTCTCAAATCATTTTGTTTCACATAAGAAATCGCGTTTATATAGCGTATATATCTTTAATGTTTGAATTTCTCGTTGCCCTAAATTGTCATATTTTTATTAACGTCTCTATAGCCTCATTGTGACGTCACTTTAGCGCGAGTTTTTCCGTGTATATTTCTTGAGTATACACAAAAATGGCTTTCAAATCAATTTCACAGTTGGCATAGTAGAAAAACACAGCAAATGTAAATATTTGAAATTGTCACTTACTGATCAAATATCGATATCATAACAAGGCTTTGGTTTATTATCCGTTCACTGTTTTTTTTTTTAAACAGTACTTATAATATTTTTTATCTTTATAAGTTTATTTTAATATTTTCTGTGAATAAAATCAGAATACTAGTATATTTACGAAAAAAAAATCATGTTTAAAGAAAGGGTACCTTGACAACCCTCAGCGCTTCAAGGGGATACATTCTGTTCATAATAGAGTAAACATCTCGTATCTTATGCTATACCCTGTGAATTATCGGTGTTGTGTGAATTTGTTCAGGACAGAATCTGATCATTTCGGACCAAAATGGCGGTACGAACGGAAGTCCGCCATGTTGTGACGATGTAGAGAGCCCCCTTAACATGGTTTTCCCCCCATATTTTTCTCGAAATTATTTCAGCAATGCCTGAACACACTTTTTCAAAGTTTTTAGCTCTACTGGTCAGAGACCAGAAGAGCTTATGCGATAGTAAGGTGTCCATCGTCCATCTGTCTGTCTGTCCGTCTGTCTGTAAACAATTTTTCAAAATGCTACTGCTCCTACAGTTTTGGTCTGATTTCAATATAACTTGGCACACAAGTAGGCTACACTAAGATACATAATTTAGTGCACCGGTTTTTGATTTCGATGAACGGTGTTGCCATGGTTACTAAAAATAGAAATTTCTGTGAAATTCCTTTAAAACCCTTCTCCTCCTACAGTTTTGGTCTGATTCTAATATAACTTGGCACACAAGTGGACTTCACTTTGATACATAATTTAATGCATCGTTTTTTGATTTTGATGAACGGTGTTGCCATGGTTACTAGAAATAGAAATTTTTGTGAAATTCCTTAAAAACACTTCTCCTACAGTTTTGGTCTGATTTTTATATAACTTGGCATACAAGTAGACTACACACACTAAGATGCATCATTTAGTGCATCAGTTTTTGATTTCGATGAACGTTGTTGCCATGGTTACTATAAATAGAAATTTCTGTGAAATTCCTTTAAAACGCTACACTTCCTACAGTTTTGGTCTGATTTCAATCTGATTTGGCAATAGAAATTTCTGTGAAATACTTTCAAAACGCTACTCTTCCTACAGTTTTCGTTTGATTTCAATATAACTTGGCACAGAAGTAGACTACATTAAGATACATAATTCTAATTATTAATGCATGTTGCAAAGTTTTAAATCCAAGTGCTACTTTGTTATACGTACAGACCAGTAGAGCTACAGTCTCATCAGAGACTTCTGGTTTAAATTTGTTTTCTGTGCTATACAGTTATACCAGCGAAGACTTTGTATTTCTGCATTGGTCCGCGTACCAGATAGAAAAGGCAGAAGTAATTAAAGATAGTTTATGATATGTAAAATACTTTGTGATTTTGAAAATCTTTATTCTTGTATTTCTTTTTAAAAAATAAATTAAATACCATCTACACAGCTTTTGCAACTGGTAATTTAATTAAAAATAGGATAGTAGTACTTCATCCTGCTGTGCATACATCTGATTGGTTGAAAAATAAAAGGTCAATTTAGACTCCTTCAATAAATAGAACATTGCTCGATTCTAAATAGTTTTAATAAAATTCAAAAAAATCTGGTGGTACACTTCACTACAAACAGAAAGATTCTGCATGTATTAAAATACAAAATATAATAAGTCAAATCTTACCAGGTGTTCCGACCTTTAATGTCACTGAGTGAAAAAGAAATCGTTACCAATACAGAATACATCCAAATTCACTTATAGAAATATAGAAAATCATCTTTAAGGAGCAATAATCTCATATTCATACTTTTCGACAGAATAACATGACTTACATATTGAAATAGCGTTTCAGACCGGTATATCATAAATTCTAGCGTGTACGGAAACTTCCTTTGACTGAAAATAATCAAAACTTAAATTTTAGGGTGAGTTTTATTGGCATTTTTTCTTGCACTTTCATGAACTAAAATTTATCCTTGATATTCAAGAAATAGCATCATCTCTTTCACAAAATATGCAGACCTTTGATAAAATGAAACATTGTGTAGAATGAATTATTGTTGTATTAGTAACAATGTACACTGGACAAACTAAATACTGGTATTTTGGCGTGGTTTCTTTTTTAAATTATCATCATACATGTACTTGAGATATACATTTATCATACATGTAACACTTATAAACTAATGCTTGAAAATAAATCAAATTTCAAAATATATTGCTTCCTTAATGTTTTGAATCATATCAGGTTTAAGATCTGTGTTGCAAAATTCGCTCAGAAAAGCTTTTGTCATGTTCTTACAAACCATAGCAAAACACAAAAAAAATATTTTCTGTCTACCTGTTCAGTATATAGGGCTCACACGTACGGCGGGTGCGACTGCTGGACAGGAGATGCTTACTTCTCATAGACACCTGATCCCACCTCTGGAATTTCCGGATGACAAAGCTGTCATTTTTTGAAACATTCAGCACAATTTGAAAATTTCACATTTTAGTTGACAAATACAGTGTAATTAGAAATTCAATATAACACTCATAAATAACTTTATTCATAAAGGATCGACAAGAATAATAATGGCAAATGGTCAATTGAAAATTTGTAGTTTTTTGTGACTGAATGTATCCACAAATACCTTTGTTAAAATGATTTTATCTTTAAAGATGAAATCAGAATGTAAACTAGGGATCAGATAAGGATATAGGGAGAGGGCTTAAATAGGCTTTGCCTGCTGCTCAATCCCTTTCACTTTTTGTGTATAAAATTATGTAAAAATAAAATACGGATAGTCCGCTTTCAGCCAGTAAGGATAACTCTTATAATTATCATTTATTAAATTAAAAAAATCTCAAAATAAAGCTTTAACTTGAAATCTTTTCTGGCAACAATTATCATTTCATGCATCTCAATATGAATCTTTTTTTTAAGTCTTCGAGACGGTCTGGTAAAAAGATGGCATTTATACCACCCACCCACCCACCCCTAAAAGTACGAAAATGGATGCATTTTTAGAGAAATCGCATTCGCTTTAATCTATCCTAAAATCAAAATGCTTATTAACATGGAATTAAATGTGAAGTGTTATATCTTGCAATGATAACACAAGCTTTTTACACTACAAATGAAGTAAATAGAAGAACTAAAATACTGTATAAGAATTAAAAACATGCATTTTTTCTCCGAATACCTGGATACTCAAATTTTTTTTAAATTCTAAAACATATTTGTTGATCAATTTTCAACAGAAAATACACTGCTGGTACTTTGATTAGCATTTCCTCAAATGTATTTGAGATTTGATAGTATCCTTGATATAATATGATCAATGATGAACTTTGAAGAAATCCCATGGGGAATTACACGTACATGTAACTTTATGAATCCAGAGACATTTCTATGAGCTTTTTCAGTTACCTGCTGATTTTCAGAACCTAATGATCGAACTACCTTATCAAAAATGGAGGGTTGCTCTTGTCAGGTTTAAGACTAATTGAAATATTCAAAGTATATTTGCATAAAGGCTTTATATTGAGATGTTAAGAATTTAAACGTTCATTAACATATCACATTTTGCATAAAGTCTCATAATAAGATTTTTCGAAGAAAATAAAACTAGATGCTGTCACAAGACAGTAAGACCCGCACTAAGGTGTTTGCCTCTAAATACACTCTCCTTCATATATGGGTAACCAAAAAAAATCCACAATGATTTCATAATTTACACAGTACATGTATTTGTCAAATGGAGCATAAAATGCTTAGGTGAACATGTGAAAAAAAATGGCCCTCTTATGTAAGTATTTCATATGCTAAATTCATTACCAGTCTGAAATTACAGAATC